ATCGATTAGTTCTGCCTCAGCCCTAGCGCGTAGTGCGACACCAACGCCAGAAAGACCAGACGAAGATGCCATAGGGTCCCCGGATAAGCACACGTTAAACAAGCTTTTCGAGGCGACAGATGGAGAGCGGATTTGTAGTACTTCACTAGAGTCTTGAATACGGGTCTCGGATAGACAACAAACATCAACATTAAGACCTTCCAAAGACATAGCCAGCCCTATCTGTTGTCTGATATGCATTAGTGTGCGAACGTTGAAGGAAGTCAGCTTGAACGGAGTACGTGGTTTCAGAAAGACTGCTTCAGTATTCATAATCCGTGGAAGCATTCACTTTCAACCAGACAGTGACTGGAGATCGTTTAGATAGGACAGATTTTCCACCATGGGCGAGCTGCTGCATAAGTTGAAAAGTAAGGTTACACAAATTGGGGATAAAAGGGGGTGAATTAGCGATATGGTAAATAATAATAATAACAATAATAATAATAATAAAAATGCAAATTGATGTTTTTAGTATGAACGAGAATATAATTGTCAGTTGAATGTTCCATTTCATTTATTTGCGAGAGGGCTGTGATACTGCCCAGGTGCCCAAACCGAAACAGGTGGTTTACATAGGGGGCCACACCCCGAGCCTTTGACCTAGAGGTCTAACCCACAAGGCAGTGGAGCATCGTGAGGAGATGCAGTCAAATGGTAGTCGGTGATCAACGGTTGATTCATACGCCATTTGTTCCCTCAGGATACTGTAGCCCATGTGCACCATTGGTTTGGGATCAGGGTTTTCCAACTCCCCTAGGTGGACCCTCCGTGTCCACCGACCCGGCTAAAGCGCCGGACATTCGCTCTTCGTCCTCTCAATTTCGTAAACAAAAGTAATGCCACGAGAAGGCAGTGAGTAGGACTTACATGAAGTAAGCAGTGTTTCTCTTCAATATAAGTTTATCAATACTTATAAATAGAGTCAAGCGTTTTTATCGTGTTTCGTAAGTTGACAACATAATAAGCTGCGCTACCTACCAAATGCGTACAGATGTGCGTCTCTGTCTCACATAAAGATACCATCAGGTAACTTAAATTTGTGTTGTAAAGAAAACCAAACACTTGGGCCAGTAATTGAAAAAAAACTCACAAACTACTATCATTTCGACCATGTTACCATTCATCTTTTAATATTACTCTGCTGATATGAAGTGAGAAAAACTAGACCGATAGGAAATTATACTTGACCCAAACATAAGAACAATTCCCAATGTGTCACTTCTGTAGTAAAATTATTTATCATCAAATTAAACGTGGGACCAACATTTACGGTCCATATTTCTATAAATTTTTAACCGGTTTCATTGTAGGCAATCAATGGTCATTTATTAAAATTAAACGGTATAAATTTGTTTACTTCTCACTCTCTGTAGGATGAAACGTCAAGAGATTATCGTCGTCTGTTATTGGCGCTTATTGGAGCATGATCTGCTAGAATACAATTTTATTTACATTGAATAAAGCTATTAATAATGAATCAGTTCATAAAAACATGATACTGAGTATTTTTAACGGATTATTTTATAGCTACAACTTTAATTAACACAAGTATTCCGCTAGTCTAACAAAAACTGTGCTATGCGAAAATATTTACAAGTTATTTAATCGTTTTATCTACTATGCCACTTTTTTATGTTCAGAAAACGCCGTAACCAGACATTTTTATTTTACTGCTAGTTTTTGTGCAAATAGAGTGGTTTGCTTTGAGATGGATGAATTTGTTAACGTCTTGGTTAAAGGGGGAAATGGAGTAAAGGGCTTTGGGAGAATATGACAGATATTAACTGGTGCGATTACATGAAAATAACGACCTGAGGTTCGTTAGTTAGATTGTAGCTGACAAATGATTTCTGAAGAACTAGTGTTTGCATTTTCCTATCCTTTTTTTGAGTTAAATTTGTTCATTGATGGTAAAAGACAAACAACAGTCCAGCCTGTACTGATTATACAGTGGATATAAGCTTGAGGTGAATAGTGCTCATGGACTACTTGAACTTGGTAAACACAACAAAGTGAGCACTGCATGATCATTATCGTAAATACCACCTTTTCATTATAAGGTCAAATCACACAATCAGAGGTCAGCCGAAGAAAACAGGCATACAAAGCCATGTTAAATTAATAAGACCTGTGAAGGTAACCTTGCTAGAACAGAGCTGATCATAAAAAAATATACTCCAACTACCCTCAGGGTGTAGAAGAATCTTCATTTAGAAGAGTTATGATGCCTCATCATGGAAGTCGAGAATCATTGTCGAACAAGACAATCGAATGGAACTCGTCACTATACATCAAATTCCTTGACCATGAGGAAGCGTTTTACAGCGTGGATAGAAGAATCTAATGGAACTATCTTCGACACTATAGGGTATCTGAGTAAATCGTCATCATACGGAATCCATACAACAGACTACACCGCAAAGTCGTGCATGGGAAACAGCCGATAGATGTATTCCAAGTGAGGGCCGGAGTCAGACAAAGCTACTTAATCTCTCCTTTCCTCATTCTTCTGGTGGTTGAATGGATTATGAAGAACTCGACATCTGAGGGGTAGCACGGAATACAGTGGACAGCTTGGATACAACTATAAGGTTTAGACTTAGCAGATCACCTAGCCCTTCTATCCCATACACACCGACAAATGCAGATGAGAACAACCAGTATAGCAGCAGCCTCTTCAAAAGTAGGCTCCAACATTCACAGGGGAAAAAGTTCCTAAAATACAACACAGAAAGCACCAATGAAATCACACCTGATGGAAATCTGGAAGTAGGAATTTTAACACACCTGGGCAGCACTATTGATAAGCGAGGGGGATCTGATGCGGATATGAAAGCACGGTTCGACAAGGTAAGGGCAGCATCTCTACAAGTGACGAACATCTGGAACTCTAAACACTTCCCAGACAAAACCAAAGTCAGAATATTCAATACAAATTTCAAAACAGTCCTAATGTACCGAGCTGACGTGTGGAGAGCAACTACAACCAACGCCAAGGAAATACACGTATTTGTAAACAGTCGTCTATCCAAGATAGTCCAGACCCATTGGCCAGACACCATCAACAACAAATCAGGTCCCAGCTGAAGAAATTAGGAAAAAACGCTGGAGGTGGATAGGGCACATAGCAGAAATCACCAAACTGTACCACGAGATAAGCCCCAACGTGGAATCCTGAAGCTGACCAAAGGACATATTGAGCTGGGAATCGTAGGCAGACATCAAAAGAATGAATAGCACTTGTAAACAACTGGAAAGGAGACCCTAGGACAGAAATGGTTGGAGTACTTTGGCTGGTAGTTTATGCTACACGAGGGGTGACAAACGTGAGTGAAGACGACCTATCAGAAACAGGGTTATCGGGACAGATTGACTTAGTGTTTATAGAATTAGAAAAAGTATTATGTAAAGTAGCCGCTGATTATGTTTTCCAGAATATCTAAGAAAACTTTACATTTGAACTATCTAGCTCAAGAGATACTACCATCTGATATATAAATCTCCTACATTATTTCATAAGTAACAAGCCATAGGAAGCACTGTCTGGTCTTACCCGTACAAACACCAACAAAGGTTGGAGTTGAGATATTTATGTGGACCAACTAGTTTCACATCAAATCAGAAAAGTTTTCAAAATTTAATGTATGACAAGTGTCACATGGATATTTCGTTTTCAGTATATAACAAAACTACTCTATCTACGCTCATTTTCTTGACAACTCCTGTTATTGATGTGAGGTGTGGCCATTTGGAGTATTAACATTCGCACTAAGTCCTCCGACCTTTCAATATACATTTAGGTAAGCTTGATTATTTTCTTAATAGGAATTATATGCACATGGTGCCGCGTCACGTAACCACCACATACAATGGCTCCAGACATATTGAAAATGACTATTCGGTTTGTGAAGTTCTGTTAGTCCATCGAGGCAGCATCACAAGGACCAGGACCGACCAACTTAAGGTAATGGATCTCTGTGAGCCAATTTGGCATTAAGTGAAAATTTCAGGATTGCACAATCATTTTTTGTTCAGTAAACCTTCCTTACAGTCCCTTACAAATCCCATGATCGATTTGAGGTACTATTTTCCAATCAATAAACGTAGTATGTAACTACCTGCCTCATATGAGCCTCTAGGATGTTTGAGTATCCTGTACAAGAGCACTGATTTTACGGCGCCATTGGTACCGAATGTTTTATACAAGCATGATTCCCCCTTATTTCTGTGGTGTTAGTCATACAACCACTAGTGTTTTAAGAGTCCTGACGATAAGGGAGGTAAGTTATGTAATGACTCAAATGCAGGATGAGGAGTACCTTATATACTAACACAAAGTCCAATTCCCAGGTGTCCATCCACTTTCAGTTTCGAATCCTAATATGAAAACCGGATGACCACTTTGAGAAACCGTGAAATGTCACACAAATACAGCCTGTAACAGTCCACTTTATTGTATTACGCTAATTACCAGATCTCTAGTAAAATTATCCAAAGCCATCAAACGCATATCCTTTTCATGTGTAGCTATAACATGTCGGGAACCACGAACTCTGGCCCAAATACTTGAAAATTAGTAAAGACGTAGTAGTCGTTCGGCACACACTTGTCTAACCATGCTAGGGACAGATGAATGCGTTATAGGGAAATTTGATTCGACTTTTCGATCAGCTTATTGAGAAAGGGGGTAATGCATCCAGTAGTTTGGTAATAAAGCCTTAAAAATTATGACATATATTCCTTTAAAGTACTTAGGAGAGCTACCTACCTGAATCTCCAACGCCATATTAAACACAAAAGGTGTGACAGTGCATACATTAAACCTTTACGTAGTGACTATAAGTAGTTGAAACACTACTAAATTCAGTATTCAAGCACGGGCTACCTAATTGTATGTCGAACTAAAAAGATACCACCCAAACACGCTAGAACCTGGAACTCACATTAAAAGCGTGTAATGAAACATCTTCAAGAATTATAATATTAAAGAAAATGCGTAGCTGAAAATTTGACAAGCCATCATCTATGGATGTCACATAGACAACAGGGAAATGTATACATAGTTCTGGGAGGGCAATCTTTAGTTACAATCCACCAGTTTGTGCCTGGAAAACCTCAACGGTATCATTTTCTTCCATTTCCAACTATAAATTTTAATGTGAACTATAAGGTTAACTTACCGAGCCAGGAGTATCAGTTTCATGAACGCTATTTCCATCGAAAAAAAACCGCACAGCAGACTGATTAACGCCCTAAATGAGATTGAGTATGTGCTGATTAAATGCTTACTAATCGATCGCAGTAAGCAGTAATCAATTTCTTGAAAGGTGTGCTTTTCCGTATCTTGAAGTGAATAATTGACCCTTCTTGTCCTTGCACTTTGATATTAATGTGTTCTGAAGGAGCTTCCTGAATTAATTAAGAAATTCTTTGGTTACCATCATCAGAAAAATAGTATTTATATCGCAAAAATGCCTACCTTATTGGCACTATCAGTCATCCCGACAAATTTTCCCTTAACAGTTTAAAAGAATCTGCTCAAACAAACGCTATCTAGCTCCGTTGTCCAATGCTTAAGGGATTCAAAATACATTGAATATGAATAACGGTGTTTTAAAGGGCTATTTCTTCGTCCTATCTCTCAAAATACCACCGATTATTGCAAATTTTCTCGAAACTACTTCATGTGTTAAAGTTAGTTTATTATTGATTTAAGTTTTATTCAGTAAACTGAAAAATGTTCCAGTTCTCTTCAAAGACTTGAATAACATTTACGTGTAGAGACAAAGAGCTTGATTTCTGAGAGCTGCATATATCAGACCAAACCTAACTTAATGTCTCAATGATGGGCAAGTAAAGGACTAAAGTATTCGATTGCTGTAGCTCTAGCCATTTTGACAGTTATCTAATGGTCCGTACATTGTGAATTTAGACGAAGTTGCATATACCAAAACTATGAAGTTGTTGAGACTGGCTGCTCGCAAATCATCACTCAGCAGTCTGATTAAGGGTATCGTGGGACTTGAGGATTGGCGTAGAGTAGAAGTAACATTGATCAAAATAAAATGAACAGATGAGTCTAATGATAATAATAGTTGGAACTAGGTAAAGACTAATGTTATAGTATCAAGCAACTTCTGGAGAGAAATACAAGTAGGTATATTCGTTTCTAACTCTATGTGAATATTCATAATTCTAATTGAAAGGTAATCTATGAGTAAATAGTTAATTATCCAGAACTTTATTGAAACCGTTTGATGAAACTGTTGTGATCTCATCTACTGGACCAGCGTTCCAGGTGACCCACTGATATTGTCCAACGAGGTGATTTCTTGTCTGAATGTTCTACCTTCACTAAATGATTTCTTCATTCGAGCACAACTCTACTACTAACCACTGTTGCCTTCTCCCTCGTTTGTCTTCAAGTCAGCTGGGTAGAAGGTACACCATTATTGTCCGATTCAGTTATATTGGTTGTATCTCTACACTACATCATTTGAGAGGCTATTGTGACATGTATATTAAATTATTTTCGTAATGACAAACTGAAGACCTCATTTTTCCTTTCTTCTCACATTTTACGTGTAATCACAGTTATATCCATTATCTATTGCTTCTCTGTATTATTAGTAAGAGGAAACGGATAAAATTGTTTGGTTGCACTTACACACTACCGGGATTATTAAGAACATCTCTGTTGTTGGTTCTTCTGCCTTATTGGTCACGACCTATGAATGAAGATTATAGTAGTGTCATAACATTCTTTTAGGCCAATCTACACTAGGTCGGAGTTTTTGACCCTTATTATTATTTGAAATGTACTATCAGGTTTAATCTTTCACATGACGTCGTTGGCGCTACCACATTCAGATGAATATAGGTTAATCAAGTGAACTCATTTGTGGTTATCTCAGAAAAACAGCTTACAAGCAACATTCATTCCATAACAACTGTTATCATTTCCGTTATTTAATGTGCCATTTTTATTGCAAGTGTTGCTTGTTACTTTTCTCCTTTTCTCATGGACACTTAGGTTTTTAGTGTCAAGTCTTTTTGGCATACCATTAGTAACTGTGTATTGTCATATATTGGGTAGGCTCTTTTGCTGTGATCCACCACAAGGCCCAGTCTGTATTCTCCTTTCGTGTGTGTACGGGGTCGGTGAACTCCGCACATATACATTCCCTGTTATAATAACCCTTGGTTTTATCTTTCGTTCACCCAAATTCTTCCTAATCTCTTCATTTATGTTCATCATCTTTTTAGTTCGTGTGAGATTGCTGTTAGATTTTTGTTCGCAATGATGGTTGTTCAATCACACTTTTGCTATTGTATAATATGTCAGGAATACCCTTTCTCCTTGACGTATAACTGATTTTGTTCTTTAGTGGTTTAGTTATTTGATGTAACACATGTTTGGCCGCACGAAGTCTCCAGGTCAATTGTTGGCCATGTAACTTGGAACCCGTATTGCTTAGACAGTTTGAACATCTTGATATTTCATTTGTGTTTACTCAGTTTAGTAAATATTGAGGAATGATTGAGGCTTGTGATTCTTCACAGGTGATTACAGTTTGATCACATGCACAAGGTAGCTATACAGAAACAAACAGGAACTGTAGGAGCTTCAGTCACTAAGTAATCTTTGTTGCTAATGGGTAACTAATATTAAGGGCGATTATAAATATTTTACTCAGATACAAGATTTACGATGAAGACCAGAGAACCAGAGTACCGATAGATAACACTTTATTCAGCACAGTTACAAGCAGTTACATTCAGTAATTTCGGAGTAGAAATAAATGATAGGAAAGGAAATCACATGTTTAGTAGTCAAAAGACTAAGTGCCTGTTTGTTTCTGCTCAATTACCAAGCACGTTTTACTATCGATCCCACACATGAGCAACCGAAGTTATTTAGTAAGCCGGATCATTGAAAAAGGGATCGTTGTCCCGAAGATCGTTTCACCAAGGTGGAAGAGCAGCCAATACAAAGCAGTCCTTGGCTGGTTGGAAACGGATTATTCAAATAGTCTAGACTAATTACGATAGGGAGCGTTCAATTTGTTCCACCAGTTTTATCAGACTTGAATACAAACTGCGTAATAGATAGCGTGTATGGGGATACTCACTAAATTCGTTGAGGCTTTTTGATCGTATAGCATTGCCATCAGCCAGCGTATACACACTGTATTCGGTTTGTGCTTGGATATTGGTTTGAAGCGGTAAATAAATCCCCAAAATAATTAGTTATGTAAGTCTTCGACATTTGATGTTGACCTTGTTGGATCCATTTTCCGAGTGAAAATCCCTCCATGCATACATTTGTGATTTCTTCCTTACGTGTTCTTTATTTGTATATGTTGTTAACATTTTTGATGTTAATTAAGACCGTAACGTTCAATTTTCTTGGTTTTACTATCGCTTTATTGAGCCTCTATGTTCCTTACTGAGCTGTATCTAGTTTGTATTGATTGCTATTATTCTGGCATCTGCCATATTGGCTGCTCGCTATTTGATTGTGCTGTTTGATTTTGACTGGGATAGTGCATTTTTGGTTGTAATTTGGAGCACTTTCCCAGAAATTGAAACACTTTGTGTTATAAAATGGCCGCTCAAACGAAATCTCACTTGATCTATCCAGAAAGGATAAAATATCGCTTACCTTTTGGTGTTTTTGGTAATTTTTCATATATTTCTTATCACCTTGCTATTTATTGTAATTTAGATTGAATATTTTGGTATCAATTATTGGTTGAATAACCAGGTGATAATATTCGTTTAGGTAAATTTGTACATTTGTATATATGATGAAATTTAGAACCGTGTTACCCAAAATACCTTGTTTTGATTTAGACTGGGGTACGAGTGTATAAAACTATTCCTCGGTTATTCGGCCACATCCAGACCTATCGGAATCTAGGTTTGGATCTTACAGACCTCATTAGTTTTACTGGACACAATCTAACTGAAGGTGCTTGGTCAAGTATCCGCACTAGATCACGAGTGGTTATGTCGTTCTACGCATCTCCTACAGCCATTAGCCAGCTCAGAATAAACGCTTCCCGACTTATCACAGCGTTTCAAATACATCTTCGAACCCCATAATTGCTGACCTTTCATTTCACTGGGTTGGTATACTTCAATTTTGAAAGTGTTACCTTTAAAGCCGTCGCCAAACTTCGAGTGCCTGTAGCGTTTTTATACACAAATCACAGACTTTACTGATTTAGACGGAGACAATGGGTTCACACAGTGATCTTCATTAATTGGTCAGTACAAATTTTCTATTTTAGTGTGTAATCAGCTTCAGTGATGATTTGTTTGACGATTTAGCTTTGCTCCATTATCACCACAAGCCAAGAAGTACGGATTGCAAAATTGTGAGCACGAACTTCAAGGTAGTCTTTTGTTCATTTAGAGGACAGAGATTCAGTGGCAATATTTGCACACAGAGTCCAAGACCGAAATAAACGTCATAAACGAAGCCGTCTGCTTGGAGATCATATAAAGTGGGGAGGGGTCCTCGCCTACGTGAAATCCTTTTTGGAGATGTTGGGGATGTCAAATCTCCAGAACTTACTTGGTAAATGGCTTAGTTTTGTAATTTTATTTTGAAATTTTGAATTTAGCTGTTTTCGCGCCAAACGCGCTCTTTCTACCTCCACGTCATATTTCCCACTTGTAAACTATCTTAGACGCTATTGGTCCATTGTTTCTTTGTGTGTGCTATTTACTAATGATGCTCAAGGACAAATTGTTGCTGTATAAATGCGCTCGACTTTTTCCCTTATTCGATTGCTTGCACTCGGCTGCTTACGGAATACATATATATTCCCCTACTTGCCTTGGACTTCTTCATCTAGTTAGCGGGGCCTGGGACAACAGATTAGAATAGCTTATCGTGTCATTGTGTCATTGGCTTTCGTTCGTTACCGCGGAATCAATTTAGTTCAAGCATATCAGGAGAATAGAGACAGAAGCATAGACCTCCAGGATTTTCGAGTAGCAGGCTCTTGTAAGCTGCCTACAGTCCCAAATTTAATGGTAACAATAACTTATTCTCAACATCCACAAGTAAAACGTCATGCTCAAGCCTCTTTGTCGATGAATCAGGACTCAACATTGTCACAGAAACATGGGTCATAACATTTGTGGGTCTATTCTCACCAGTCAACAAAGAATTCCTGTTTTGGAACTGACAGGATTGTCAACAGTCAGGGCACAGTACAGTGTTATCACACTAAGATTACTTGTGTGTGTTGTCGAGCAAGTCTTAGCTACACAATAGATGCATAAACAAGACAGCTACCTTTAAAGCCAAATTTATACATGTTTTGATGACTATAGGGGCAACGTACCATTGTTCAAGTTATTATGCCGATAACTTTGTTTCGAGTGTAAACTATACTTGGAGCAGGGATGATAATATTCTAATATTTGGTGATTTTAACAGTGTATCAACTAGATAGACCTCAGAGCTTAGAAAGTGATCAACTATTGAGCAGTCTTCGGCATGTGCAGCTAAATGTGTCATAAGAGTGAAGTGTCTTAACTTCGAACAATAACTACGTTATTGGACCGTTATCGTGCATTTCTGTGTTGCAGACACTCTTCGAAACAGCGATCATACTGTGTTGTATTTTCAGTATT